AATTGTTTATGAAATTTGCTAATTAAATTTTATTAATAGGTATAGATTTCAAATATATATTACATTGCTACATAAAATACTCACAATATAAAATATCATAATATAATTAAAACAGTGTCTGATATATTAAAATATATATTACATTGCTACATAAAATACTCACAATATAAAATATCATAATATAATTAAAACAATGTCTGATATATTAAAATTGATTGCATCTGATATAAGAATTGCATATAATCTGATAGATGATAAGAAAAATTTCTTGCATCTAATATAAGAATGGCATATAATCTGATAGATGATAATAAAAATTTCTTGCATCTGATATAAGAATTGCATATAATCTGATAGATGATAATAAGAATTTCTTGCTTGGATTTGATAAAAAATTGCTTGGAATTATCTAATATATTAAATTAAAAAAAATGTATAAGATTGTATATAATCTGATAGATGATAATAAAAATTTATTGCTTGGATTTGATAAAAAATTGCTTGGATTTGATAAAAAATTGCTTGGAATTATTTAATTAAATACTAAAAATCATCCATTTTGACCGAAAATGGACCATTTTACGATCAAAGGAGGCCCTCCCAAAAGAAACAGCTAAATGTAAAATTTGCCACGTGGAGATAATGTGCAAGAAAAAAACTAACTACATCAGCATTAATTAATCATAACAAAAGATTTCATCAAAAACAAAATAATACTATTAGAAACTATTTAAATGATATACCCAAAACAAATGCTGATGATGTTAAGCATTATTTATTAAAACTTTTGCTAAAGTCAAATATACCTTTTAAAATTCTCGCCACTCAGGAATTCAAGTCCTTCGTTAGAGCTTTAAATCCTGAAATAAAAATATGCTCAATACCGTCAATTAAACTATATATGAATGAAATTTTTAATAAAGAATTCAATAGTTAAAATAATTATAAATAATTTAAAATGCCAAATTAACTTTACAACTGATATATGGTCAAGCCCTACTAATGTACCATTTTTAGGGTTGACCTGCCACTTTATTGATGAAAAATGGGAGATTAAATCATTGTTATTGGATATAGTTCCATTTACTGATTCGCATTCTGGTAAAAATATTTAGAGTTTTCTCAAATTATAAAAAATTATAATACATAAGATAGCAATTACTTGCGATAATGCTAGCTCTAATTCTACTTTCATAAAAATTCTTCGTATAAAACACCCAAATTGTGAAATTTTACATGTGCGATGTTTTGCACATGTACTCAATTTAGTAGTAAAGGAAATACTTAAGAAAGTAGACAGGCAAGTATTAAAATTAAGAACAATCATAAAGATTATTCGCAATTCTTTTACAAAGGCAAATATTATGCAAAATGTGTGCTCCTCCCTATTTACCCCTATGAAATATTTAAAATTAGACATATTCATCATATGGAATAGCTCTTATTTAATGGTCGAAAGAGCTATTGATGAAGTTGTGACTCAGATATATGATGATATATCTGATATCGAAGAAAGAAAACTGAGCAAAGTAATTTTATTTTATTTATTAATAATTATTTTTTATCAGGATGATTGGACTACTTTAATAAACATACAAAACAAATTAAAGACTTTTTTGATTTTACCGAAGATATATGTGGTGACACATATCCTACCCTAAATTTTGTCATCCCTTTCTATGTTTCTTTAATCGAACATTTTATAAACTCTATCAGTGCGATTGAGAAAATAGAAACTTATTATAACTTAACAAATATTCACACTATAATATCAACAATACTGGATCCTAGACTAAAAATGGAATTTTTTGAGCAACTACCAACTACATATAACATAGACACGACAAATCTATTAGAAAAATTTAAAATGTATATAATGATTACAAAATAAAATATAATATCAAATCAACATCAGTTAACCCAATAGTACAGTCGAACATGGATAGAATTTTTAAACAAAATAACATCACATCAGTGTGAGGTAGACATATCTTAACGAAATAAGAATCAGTTCAAATAAGAGTCCCTTAGAATGGTGGAGATTGCATGGGGATCATTTTCCTGTGTTGTCGAAAATGGCAACTGATATATTGTCAATTCAGGGATCTTCGGCTTCATGTGAGCGGTTGTTCTCAATAGGAACAAATATGATAATGAAAAATAGAATGTCTTTGAAGGAGGAAACTATTAGAAAGACTTTATGCTTAAAAAATTGATATTATCAAATTCGGATTTACTATTGTGTATTATTTTCTATTTTTATAAAATGAGATTATTGTACATTTTTAGAAAATTTGAATATTAGATTGAAGAAATAGTTTAAATATTTTTTTATAAGCAATTCTAATTCTAAAAATCGGATATTTTGGTCAATTTGTTTGGTTAACATTATATGAAATCATTTCGTTTATTTTCTATAAATTTTTATATTGTAATGACAATTAGTTTAGAGAATCCATAAAAGTGTCATCTTTAAACATCTGTAAAATTTTTTTTGCAAAATATTTTATAAGCTTTAGAAATATTCTCGAATCGAATATTCGACGAATCAAAACGAATAATGATTTTATTATTTGTACGAATACGAATAGCGCAATTATTCGATTCGTTTTTTGTATGCCTAATAGGTACACCCCTAATTTTATCTTAAAATAATTACATTTTATTTAATCATACTTATACATAAAATTCATATACATATCATATTTTACATATAAAATATTGCAAATTGGAATTCAAATTAGAGATTGTTAATTTCAACGCTAGTCCTAGTAGTAAGAATTAGACCTTCATGGGCCTTAATTTTTTGACCAAACCAAGCCCAAACCATCCGTAAATATTTTTTTAAGTCCAGGCTTGGCCCGGCCCATATCTAATATAAAAAATTCCAAAGCCCAGCCAAAGCTCATAAGTTTTAAAAAAAATTCCAAACTCGGCCCAAACCCATATCCAAAAATTTAATTTTAATAAATATTTAAGTGTATTTAGGCAATTATTATACTAAAATTTATTATTAGAAGAAAAAAATGGCAATATTTCTTTAGGTTAGGATTAAATAAGCTAAATTTAATAATTAGTCCCAAGCCTAGCCCATCTATAAAAAAAATTTAAACCCAAGCCTGGATAAGGCCAACTACAAAATAAGATTCTCCAAAAAATGTTGCAAGTCTTTTAAGAAGTTCAAATAAATTCTTAGATTAAAAATTATGCAGGAATCATAGACATATAGGGATTTGACTATATACACACACTAATAAGAACTTCTTGATTAATATGAGCTTGTAATCCTTTAAATTCACTGTGCATACTTGCGCCCACCTTAAATAATATATTTTTGAGTTGGATGCAATGTTTTTTCAAAACAATCAAGAACTTAGCTTAAAAATTATGCAGGAATCATAGACATATAGGGATTTGACTATATACACACTAATAAGAACTTCTTGATTAATATGAGCATGTAATCCTTTAAATTCACTGCGCATACTTGCGCCCACCTTAAATGATATATTTTTGAATTGGATGCAATGTTTTTTCAAAACAATCAAAAACTAAATCATACAATTTTTTCCCGGATGAATTAGTTATTTTCTTAATGCGAAAAGTCTTTTGGTTATATTTCCATTATATATATAAGGTAGGGCAAATCTTGGCTTGGTCCAAAACAAAATTCACAAATAAATGCACGCAAATGCAATTCCTATAAATATAATAAATATTTTGATAATCATGGATTTTGAATATATTTTCTTCAATCGTCCAAAAATTATATGTATTTTTATCGGCCCCTCAAATTATTTTATTTTGTCCAGACCCAATAGATATTTTGAATACCTGGCCCACTTGGGTGAAACCAAATATATTTTCGGACATGACAATTTCAACAAAATATTTTGCAGGCCTAGAATAATGGCAGATTTTTCTTCACAAAAATAAATTACGGATTGAGCTAGGATAAAAAAAACTAGAAGCAAAATATTATGGGCTTGGACAGAAAATATTCAAGGGCCAGTTTGGTTTAAGCCAGGCAATAAGGTCTACATAAAAAATTTTGAGAAAATTTCAAAAAAATTGCAATATTTATAAAAATAAAATTTTAAATAATGACTAAAATTTACTCTTTCTTAAAGTGGTCGCTTATGATATGACAAGTATTTCTAAGGATATGGTAAATATTAAATTGCACGTGGTTTAACATGATAGAAAATCACAATTAATTTGGAGTAATCGCTAAAAAATTCTCATAATGATAATATTGTGAAAACAAAATAATATATTTTTTATTATATGACATTGGTTTGTCAATTAACAACAAAAAATGTAAATTATTTTTTTTAAAAAAAATTTATTATTCTTGTTTGGGAAATTATAGTTGTACTCACTTCAGAACCTGTTTTTAGTGAAGCTGGTGATATTGACAGTTACCATCGTCACAGGCTGACCTCTGATAAATTAAAAATTTTGGTATTTCTAAAAAGAAATCCTTGACATATTAATGTTAAATATTATTTTAAATATTTATTTCAAATTTCGTAATATATTTGCTTATTACTTATTATGTATATAGATTAATGTTATTACTTATTATATAAAAGTGATTTAACAATAAAAATATTTTATATACTTTTAGAATTGCAATTGAATATAAAATATAACTGAATGTATTTAAATGACATAAGCTATGGTATAGTTAAATTATAGATATTATACTAATAAAAAGTATATTAAAAATTAAAACCATTGGCATCTTTACAGAATACAAAATTGTATAAGATATCAGATTGGAAATCGGCCGATATCAATTTAATATCAGAAATATCGGATCAGCCTTCAAAAATTGGTATCGGTAGACCCATAATTATTGATTTAAAAAATATTTATCTTGATTTCAATTATTACAAATTATATCTATTTAATGGCCTGCCATTAAAAATAGGAAATTTTAACATAATTTTTATTTATCCAAAAATTTAACAATTATATATATATAAATAAAAACAAACAATAATTCCAAAAATAAAAAAACTTTATCATCACAAAATGTAGTATATGTAAAAATTAATAATAAAGGTATATAAATTATAAGTCATATCCCAGCATTTGATAATTTACTTAGAAAACCATGGCATGTGGATACTGTCCAGGTGAAAGTGAAAAGGGGAGTGTCAAATATTTTTTCATGAACCTATTTTCAAGCCCATTTTCAGTTATGGCGCCATCTATGAGTTCTAAGATACGATTATCAACTATTTTCTGAATTTCCTTTTTCTGATCTGGGAGTGCCTCTTTAACCTGTAAATAATAGATTTAAATGTTAACCAGAAGATTTGATCTAAAAAATATAAACGTTTTACTTAAGCTAATAAAACTAACTTGACCACCCATCCTAGATCCAGTAAATTTAAATATTTTATAGGAAATAATATTTCATACTAAATAAAAACAAGAATAGATTAATTATAATAAAATTCAGTATATTTAAAAATTAGTTCCAGTAATAAATAATTACGAGAAAATTTGGATCAGACTAAATAGAGGCCTATTATGAATGAGTTTCAACCTACCAATTTAATGTTTTAAAAAATTAAGCCTGCTCATCCATGACTTTCTAAAATAAAATATACCCGTCTATTAATTCATCTAATAATTGTTTAACCCACTCACCTGTAATTTGTTTAGTTTATAAATGTGATATTATCAAATAAAAAAATTGCAGTAAAATATTGAGATTGTATTTTTTATAAGAATTGTAGCAAAAAACTTCAAAAACATATCTTTTCACAAAAACCCTTTCTACCCATAGGTGAGAACAATGATTCATTATTTTTTTCATTCTATAAATATTAATCTATTTTAAATCAAATTTTCATCATCACAATTACAACTTAATTACATTCATTTATACATTGTTTGCAGTAAAATTGAGATCAATATTATATGAATTCTAAATAAATTATTTACTTTATTCTAATATAAACATTGCCCTACTAAAATTTGAGAAAACATTTTATAATTAAAAAAACGCCTTGATATTTATAAGAAAAGTAGTATAGGAATTAGTGATCTGCATTGGGCATAATTTTTCAAATCGGGCCCGGCCCAAGATTTTTTTTAAGAAAGTTTTGACAGCCTAGCCCGAACTTGAAATTTTTCTCAAAAAAATTTACAGGCCCAGCCTGGCTCGAATTTATTTAAATATAGAAATTATTTTTTTTTTATAATTACTCAAAATAAAAGACATATGTTATATGGCGTTTAGTTTCAATAAATAAAATCAAAAATTTTTATTTTACATAAAAATTCAATATAAAATTGATAAATTTAGATGTATTTTAAAAAAAAATCCAAAGTCTGACCCAACCCAGCCCGAATTTTTAAAAATATTAGGCCTGGCCTGAACCCGATTATTTTAAATAGAATTAGGCCCAAGGCCCGATTTGCAGATCTTTAATAGGAATATTGTAATTACATTTTTAAAATATAATCTAAAAAGCGTAAAATGAAAATAATAACACCGACCTTGCCCGAATGGGCTTCAAGCCTAATTTTATTTAAAATAATCGGGTTCGGGCTGGGCCTAATATTTTTAAAAAAATTTCGGGCCGGATCGGGTTGGATTTTGGAAATTTTATTAAATATATCTAAATTTTTCAATTTTATATTGAATTTTTTATGTAAAATAAGAATTTTTGATTTAATTTATTGAAACTAAACGCTATATAACATATGTATTTTATTTTAAGTAATTATAAAAATTAATTTCTATGGCCTTGCCGGGCTGATAAATTTTTAAAAAATAAATTTTGGGTTTGGGCTGGCAAAACTTTTTAAAAAAATTTTGGGCCAGGCTTGAAAAATTAGGCCAGATGCAGATCACTAATAACAAGCATTCTTATTTACAATTGGAGATGCACTAATAATTTTATCAAGCCAATTTCTTGGATATAGTTGTTGTTAGGGCTGTGCCGATATTAAATATCGGATCGGTACCGATATTTGACGTTTTCCGAAAATATCGGATCAGGCCGATACTTGTAAAAACCAAAATCTTTTAACTTTTCTTTTTTTTGTTATTTTATTTTATGTATATTTATTTTACATTATAGTATTTTCTAAATAATTTTTTTAAATTTTATTTCTTTTTATAGTATTTTAAAAGTTTTATTTTATAAAAATAGAAAGGAACACCCAAAGTTTTATTTATTTTAAATCTTTTTAAATAACGCCAATTTTTTAATTTATATTTTAAATAAAAGAATTTTTTATCTGAATTATGGAAATATTTTACCAAGGACAAAGATAATTTTGCAAAATGTGTTATCTGCAGAATCATCTGAGTCTGCCTTCAGTACGGCAGGATATAGATAGTCCATATCGTCCCAGAAAATCTAGAGGCTCTCATATTTATTAAAAAATCTAATATATTATAATTTTATATATTAAATATTACAATTTTATAATTCCAACATAAAATGGATTTATTAAATATATATTTTTTTATATAGTCTTAATTGTAGAAATAAAAAAAATAAATTTAATTCATAATTCGATTTTTTGCATAAAAAATAATGATTTCTTAATTACATTTGGTTCAAACGAGGGTGACTAAATATCAGTAAAAATATCGGATCGGTTTTGAAGAAATATCGGATCGAATCGGCGAAAAATATGTGGATCAGCACAGTCCTAGTTGTTGTAATGATACAACTTAATGGTTTTCATTTTATTTTACATTATGTATTTAAAGTGGTGTTGATTCAATTACATTTATGTTTAATATTACTTTTTGACAAATGTTTCACTCAAGGTGAAAAATAATATATATATATTTATCTTAGATTATAATTTGACATCAGTTATACTTTACTTTATAAAATTTGTTATTTATCTTTTAAAATATTATTATTACAGAACAGATAATTATATCATGTAATTATTCTTTATAAATTCTTAATTCTAAACCATTCTCATTTTATTATTATTAGAAGTTTCCCCACTTGTAATAATAGCCAATCTAATTTTTATAGGATTTATTACTCCAAAGAAATTCATACAAAAAATTTAGTAATTAAAACTTATATGCTAAATATATATCCTTTATTCAAAAATATCATTGATTTGGTTATAATTCTCAAAATCTCTTTTTAAAAATTTTTGATTTTATAATACTAACCCTATACCAATTCAATATTAAAAAATCAGTTTACTATTATAATTTTTGGTTATTGAATAAAATCTCACATTTTTAGCACCACTTTCAAAAATATCCTCATCCTTATTTTTGCGTTTGGATTTTCTTTCATCTCTTTTTTTAACTTCTGGGCTAAAGTATGTCATTTCCCCTTTGATTAATTGATCAGTCAGGCCATCCAAGATTTGAGGAAGTTCAAATCCAGGGATTCTTTCAGTAGTCGCAATCACCCTTGATTCATGAATTCGTCTTAGTGGACAGCCATTCAATTTGTGGGGACCAGTGATAAGTAATAAACCTGAATGAGGAAGTCGGTCAAGGAAAATTACTCGCTTTACATTTGTTTATTTTGGGTAAAAACAAATATTTTATAAAAAGATACAGTAATATTGATTAATAATAAAAGTTATTGAAAAAGCTATCACATTATCCAATTATACTAACAAAGATAAGTATTAAATATTTGCAATGTTCGTATTCAATCTGATTTGTCGAATATTCAATTTGAAAATTAAATCTTCAAATTAAAAATCAAGGTAATCAAAATTTTTTTGAATGAATCTTTGTATATATTTTTTAAGAAATTTGTTATTTCATCTTGAAGGATTTCTTGTCTATGAAAATTATAAAAAGTTTAAAATAAAATTTTTTTTACTAAACATATTTTGAATTTTAGGTAAAATTAGATCAAAAATCTTTCTTTTTTAAACAATTTTCAAACATTTTTTCTATTAAAATTTAAAAAGTGATTTATAGATGTAGAAATAAAATAAGGTTCCTTAACAAGTTAAATATATACAAATATTTTTAAATATTTATTATAAGTTTTAATATTAATGAATAGTTTCAAATATTTACAAATAACGTCCAATATATATTATAAATTTTGAATAAGAAAAAAAATCAAATTATACAAATAATTTTGAATAATGAATAAAAAAATTATTCAACAAATAATATATTTCCTTTATTTGTATTCGAGTTTTCGAATCAAATAATTTTCTTATTCGTGGTATATTTCCTTGTATTTGAATCAAATAATTTTGTTAGATGTGGTAAAATACTAGGTATGTGCATAACCCACTTCAGTAAATTGGTAATAAACAAAACAATGTGGTAAACTATTATTATTTTATAAATCTTATACTTTTGTAGTATCAAATGATGAACTAAGATTAGTATATATTGAAAATTAAAGCTGGATACCATTTAAAAGACAAGTGGTAACTGGGGAAAAGGTAGAGTTAATGTTATATACAATCAGTATATATATATATATTATTAATATATATTATTATTAACAATCTATGTAATTATAATCTGAAATTTCAAGTTAAAATAGCAAAATAATTTGTAATTGCATTAATACTACTTAAGTTTATAATGTACAAAGCTAAAAATGATAACATTTTTGCAGAAGTTATGCTTAACAATCATTGAATATTTTAATCATTATTTGTCAAAAAATACTAATATTATAATCTAAAGTAATAATTAAAATTCTAATCAACTAATTATATTTAACAAAATTTTTTAAATATAATATAAATAAGCCCTAACTAATATTTTCATAATTTTTTAATTTAAGCTATAACCCATATCCCTATAATTTTTTAATCTTAAAAATAATTTATAAAATAGGGTATTGTGATGGACATTTAAATTATTTACTTATTAATTTTATGCCTGTAAAGTACCTTTCTTGAAAAAATTAAGAAGTAAACATAATCTAATATATTGGGAATTAAAGATAAGGGATAGGTTCTAAATTGGAGGCAATGATAATATTTCCTCTACTTTTAATAATTTTAACTTAATTTACATTCAAATGTGTTTACTTCTCTAGCATCTATTAATATTTATTTCAAATTTACTTTAAAAATTTTGTAGGATACAAGCATAATTCCCAATTTTTATCAAATTATTGGGAGCCAAAGATTATGAGTTAAACAATAACTTTTTAAAAAATAAGTATTTTAACATTAAATATTACCTTTCCTCTATATGGTCCTGCCATTACAATCAATATCTTTCCTGGAATTAATGATGGTCGAAGTGGTTTATATTTTCTAGCTCTGTTCCTATCTTTCTTACTCAACCGTTGCTTCTTGAAAGAACACTTTTGCTCTATAGGAATCGTTTTGGGCTATATATGAAAATATGTTGGGCAAGAAATAAAATTGGTTAAGCAGATTTATAACATTTTCAAAACCAGCTTTAGAATTTTGATCATTTTATGGCTAAAGCCTAAATTTTTTAAAATGTTATAAGGAATATTAATGAAGCTCAGTGCAGATATTTAGTCTGTTTAATCCTGCAGATCTGTTATAAGTAGAAAATTTTAAATAAATTGTACCATTTTTTTCTTTAATATCACTCGTTGTTCCCCATTTTTGTCTCCACCAATGGGTTTGGTCATTGTTTTTACTGGCCTAACTTTTGCTTCCTTTTCTTTTTTAGCTTTCTTTATTGCTAAGGTCACACTGTTTTCAACGATTGGGTCAAAAAGTCTTCTTCTATGAAAAATTTTGGACTTGGAAAACCTCATGATTCCTTTACAGATTTCATAATTTCTAAGGTTTTTACCAGTTTTTGTCTTTTTAGCAACTTCCTTCATTCTAGAGTATGTAATTGAAAGTCTAATTTCATACATAATTCATTTTTATAAAAAATCACCAACATACATAAACTCTTATATAACAAACTATTAATTCTAAACTTGTTCAACAAAATAATATTGACAATATTTACCATATGTGCTTGTTCTCACAATAATGAATAAATATAATATATATTACAATGCCTTACGAAAATGTGAGGAATAGGAAATTGAAGTGACGATAGGTTGTTTGGTTAGTGCACTTTGTATTAATTTAGAATTTTAAATAAATATTAAAATTATGTTTGAATAATGGTTAAACATCTTTTCAAGAAAAATAAAAATTTATGTAATTAGAAAATACTATACAATTTAATACATAAAATTAAATGAGTTAATTAAATTAATAAAATAATGTTATTGACAATAATATAAACTAATTTGTATATTTTAAATGAATTTCTTAACTTTTTCCATAAATTCTCTAGACTTTCTAAATCTTTTAAATTTTATATTAAATTATTTAAAGATGCAATCTAACCATCTTTATTTTTTCAAAAATTATTAGTATGAACTCCATAAATATCAAAAATACAAAATTTTACTTTTCAACTCTGTTAACTTCCTCAGAAATGGCTACGTTTACAAATCCAAAAAATTAAAGGTATATATTACTTAATTTAAAATATCTCGTAAATAATTTAGCCTAAAATAGGATTTCTTTTATATAGCTTTTTAATATTACACAATAAAATTTAATAAAATTTGGCTCTATACTGCTGGAAATAGAAAATAGGTAGAGTTAAAAAATAAATATTTTTTTCCTTTAAATTTTATTTATAGGGGGTATAGAGTTGGAACAACGTCTATTAAATGACTTTAATGGGCATTTATATATTGATAAATTAATTGTTCTTAATGTGCAGTAATAAGACAATTATCTCTATGTATTTTTACATGTTTAATAAATGAACCGCCAATCAATAATATATATATATATATCATTGATATATATACATCATTGATGCTTTCTCAAAGCGCACTATAGCTATTAAATTTTAAATGTAGAATAGCTATTTTATTATATATTTTTAATATTATTTCCGAATTTTTTTTTGAAGTATGGGAGAATAAATAAAATATTGCTACGAAATTATATTTTTTTACAATCCTAAATTAAATTTTATTCCAATTAAAATTTTATTTTTAAATATTCGCATCGCGTGTTAACTAATAATCAAATTAAGTGATATATTATCGCGAAATGGTTGTCCAGAAATATGTTCAAAAATCTATATCGCATATGAACCAGTGGGTTACTAGGGGAGGGGCGCAGGGACTCGAACCCCCTGAAAAATTTGAATAGCTCCCTGAAGCAAAAAAATATTTTAATGGCTCCTTATCCTCTTGAACTTTAAAATAAATTTTTTTGATAGCCTCCTGTACGATTTTTTATAATTCTATTAAGTAATATAATATATAGATTTAATTTTTATTTAAAAATTAATAAGACCCTCTAAATTTTTATCTATTTTAATTTTTGGATTAGATTAATACATATTAATTATACTTTCACTATGTCAGCTTACAATTAAATTCTGTGTTAAATATAGAATATCAATATCACTCACTAAATATTAATTAAGCATTGACAGTTGAAGCTTAATTGTCTTTTATTATTTAAATTATTATATAACCCTAATTAAATAAATAAAACCATTTATTAATTGAAAATTAACAAATTTAATATTGTAATTAGCCGAGTTCAAAATTACTAATATTATTCATTTTTAATTTATTTACCATGCCTCTTCCTAAAAACATTTTCAAGGTTGAAATAAATATAAGAGATTTCTTTATAAAAAGTAAGTAGACATATAGTTTATAATCCTCCATTATATATAAATGATTATAAAAAGTAAGTAGACATATTGTTTATAATCCTCTATTATATATAAATATTAGGTAAAATGCCATTTCAGACGTATTTGACAGTTATATAATATACTAGCTGATAGCTCGTCAAGAATGACAGGGACTCAGAATTTTCTTATTTATTTAATGATGAATGAATAATAAATTTTCCTATTTTTACACAAAACTCATCTAGCAAGAATATATTTTTTATATTATAAATTACAAATACAAATGAATAAAAATTTAGTTTAAAAGATTTTTTATTGTGCACATAAATTAAAATACTAACCATATACTTCATAAACATAATTTATAAAAAAATGGAAAATTTTAGAATAACTCCTCACCTAAATAAATATAAATTTCTAAATCACATTTCATAAGATAGGAAAATTTTTGAATCATTCATCAACAAATAAAGGAAAATTTATTATTCATTTATCATTGAATAAAGAAGAAAATCTGATTCCCCATCATTCCTGATAGGCAATCAGCTAGTAACTTATATTTTTGATAACGGGTTCTTAGAAAATCCCTAAAATATATGTAAAAGGAAAGGTCACAATAGGCATTATTTTTTTTTTGTTATTTATGTTAAAATAAAGAAGGATTAATATTTCTTCCATATATACACTTCACAATGGCTTTCATTATTTCCTTGTGTACAACAATTTTTTGAATCCAGCAATTATCATAAATTTTTTGCAAATGATTTAAATAAGGCATATCTGTGGTTTGATTATTTCTTTAAGTTCAAATAAAATCAGATGTGAAATAATTCAGTTTTTGAAATTAGAGACCTTCACGGGACGGGACTTGATTTTCATCAGCCTCCAGCCCAGGTTAGCAGTAACAATAATTTGCAGGCCTAGTCCATATTAAATAAAATATTCAAACCCAAGCTCATCTTAAGTTTCAAAAATTTTGCACAACTTATATTCAAAAATTTAATTTATTGTTTTAAATGAATAAATAAACAATATTTAAGTGTATTTAGGTAATCACTTTGTTTGCAATCTGACATTTATTATTGCATCCACTTTTTGGCTGAAAATTTATCTTTACCATCAAATATTTTGTTCAATTATGGATTCATATAATCATTCAAAAATTCACTAATCTATTGAAACAAATACTGAGCACGCTATTTATTAATTATATATTTTCTTATTTTTCTATTCTTACCAATGTCGGACCCTGACAGTAGAGTAAATTACTGTCAATTAGTGGATCAGATATGATCAACCTTCTTTGATTAAATGGGCCCTGATAGTAGGGCAAATTTAACTGCTAAACAGTGGATGCAAATTTAATTGATGATTAGATGCAATGATATACCTAATTAAATTTTTATTATCATTCATTAATGTTATTTCTAAATTTACCATCAAATATTTTGTTACAATTATGGATTCATATAATCATTCAAAAATTTACTAATCTATTGAAACAAATACTCTAAAAAGATAAGCACACTATTTATTAATTATAAATTTTCTTATTTTTCAATTTTTACCAATGTAAATTACTCTCGGGTCCTGACAGTAGGGTAAATTACTGTCAATTAGTGTATCAGTTACCCTCATCCTTCTTTAATTAAATGGGCCCTCACAGTAAGGTAAATTTTACTGCCAAACAGTGGATGAAAACTCACTTCACTGGATATGCCCCCTTTTGGGTGATGGAAGCCACTTAATTGAGTTTATTAAATGCAATCAGCGTCTACATGAGCAGGAGGGGTAGGAACAGTTTGCATCCTACTTTTTTGAGGAGAGTAGGGGTAGGCGGCTTTAATGGGGGTAGGATAAATTTCTTTGGGGGTTATCTATTAAATTTGAGATGAAATATGAAATTAATAACTATTATAATCAATGATATATATAACTATAGATTGACGATCATGCATAAAAAAACGTCCACCTATTGAAATCAGCTGTAGCGCCATTTTGTAGCTTGTACGTTGATCAAATGCCTCAATAATAATAATAAATTTTAAAAATTTAACAATTTTATATCTAATAATTTGTTAATAATGTAATTATGTAAAATAATTAAATGAATCCTAACCTCAACTGGTCTTCAATTAAATTACATTGGTATTCTCTAAAATAAAAAAACTCAACATTTAATACAATAATAGTACATAATATCATTAAATTACTTTCACCCAGAAATTATTCAGAAACATAGATTGCTACAATATCACTGAAGCAAAAATCACCAAAATTATACCCATACAAAATATTCCATACTTATATCTAATACACCCTCAAATATTCAACCAAATAAGGTCCACTGCCTATATATAATTGCCAAAAAAACTTATCACACAGATTCCTTTGACTCAATCAAGAAAATACTTCTCTCAATCATAGTTTTAAGTTAATTTATCTACTTGGTTAATATTATTATAAAAATAAATTTATTTTTAAACATTCCTCAACCATTTAACCCCCAATCATTTATTAGAAAGTCTAATTTATTTTATACATATTAATTGCAAATATCAAAATCATTTATTTTTTTATATATATTTGTTAATTTTTCTAATAAAATTAGTTTTTATAGCTTATCAAATTCACTTGATGTTTCAAAAAAAATCTTACTATCCACTTATTGTTCATTTATGGAATCCTTATTAAATATAATAATATTTTATGATTCATATCTTATTAATAAATAAAAATAATGCACCGATATTTATTGTAGTTGCTGGTACTTTTAATTTTAGGTAAGTAATTTATACCTTAAAATAATAATCAAAATTTATATAAAAGATCTGTATAGATATAATTAAATAAAATCTACAAATTTTGTTTTACTAATAAGAGAAATCAATGTTAAAAGGATGAACCAAAGATATACTCTAAAAGTAGATGAAGATCAATTAATTACTTTAAGAAAATAAGATTTTATAAAAAAATATCCTGTCAATTAAAATTTTTTTTGGATTATGTGTTCTAGATGAAATAAGTTAAACCATCTTAAAAGATGGGTTGAGAGCTCATCTCACTTAATTTTTATTGTAATAATCATTTATAATTTTTTTTGTTTTAATTATTTCATCTTAATTATAAATGACAAATGAAAACATCTTTTATTTTTTTTTTCAATAAAAACATAGTGTAATAATAACATTTTTTGCATGAGTATAAATTATTATATAAATCATTTAAATAAGGTTTATACAAAATATATAAAAATATAAATGTGTACACTTTAAAAAACAAAATGTATTTTTAATAATGTGATGATTCACATTTATATTATCTTTGATTATAAACATTCATGCTTTTTGATTCTATCATCACCTATAAAAAATAAAATATATTTACATTAGCATAGATTATATATAATATCATAATTTTTATAATATGTCTTATATCAGGCCTGTTCTTTATACAATATAATTTTTAAAAAATAAAAGAAGATATAAATATTAATTTACATGACTTAATGATTATTAAAATGTATTGCTTTTGTAAGATTTTGCCTCATACCAGTTCTCAATTCCTGGTTTCTCAAGTCAGCAAAATGAAAAAATCTAATATTTAAATATCTTTAAAAAAAATAGTATTAAAACTAATAAATGATTACCTTTGAACAATTAATTTTACAAGAATTTGAAAATGGCTGTAACCAATCTCATCATTAATATGTTCAGTAAGATCAATAAAAATATTTGTACCAATTATTGAGGAAAAAACCAACACTTCCATTTTTTTAATAATATTTTTACGTTTAATATCATTTTGATAAGTTCTAAATGAACTTTCACAAATTCTGCATGACATATTAGAAGAAGGAATCACTAACCCCCCATTATTTTTAAAATTTATGAGCATATTATTTATATTATTATCAATATATGAATCACTGACCATTGCATTAATGCAAACATCACATCGTACCTTTTTTTCTTTAATAAGTTGTTGTACTATATATCCCAAAATATAAGTTGTTAAATTATCTAAATATAATGATAATTTCGGGATATGAGGATTTGTTTGGCTAAAATAATAAGATAATGCCTGGGGTATTATTGGAAAATAGTTTTGATAGAATTAAAATCATCGTCATGATTATTTTGAAAATTTGAACATATTAATTGAGTATTATCTAAGGAAATGCAATTTCCTGTAATTGTAGTATCCAATTTCGCCATTAATGAAATGCCAACAGCAGATCGAATACCTTTAAAAAATATTTAATAATTATATATTTATTATCAAACTTTCATTTTTTGTTTGTGGAAAGCAATATGTGCTTTGCGCAATTTATTTGCAGCACGTAAACCTTCGCACTCCTGCAATTTATGTAAATTTTGTATATGCTTCCAATCTATTATCTATAAATACAAAATAAATATTTAATCAAATTTAATATAGCTAGCTACCTCTCCATTTTATTCATTTATTAAAATTTCCTACTCCGCTAATAAATTTATAAGTAATTTGAGCATATGACAAACATCTAGTAACATATATATTTTTTCCGATTCATAAAATTCCAGCTCAATATATGGAATGATATTATCAGGATCCATACCAGTGGCATAGCTAGAAATTTTTCTTAGAGGGGGTCCATACATATAAAATGCAAAATCATAACCATATCTTCGATAATATATAATAAATATATTTTTTAAATGCATCAATAATATGTCATTATAATTTAGTCGATTATTCTCAATGACTTTATAATAATACTATCCAGAATAATTTCAATAGTAATATAATATCCTTCCACAAACATCAAAACCAGAAAAATATAAATATTAATGGTATTAGTCACTTTTAAGTCAATCTAAAAAAAAAAATTTTGCTCTGGGAGGGGTCCAAACCTGAAACCCCCCCCCCCATAGCTACGCCACTGATCCATACTAACACCAAGCAGTTTGCTCATTTTTTTATTAACAGCACAACCATCACATACTATGGCCTTACAGATAATTCCTGTTTTATTTAGATTGAACAATGCAACTCTCACTAAATAGCTAGGATATCTGAATTCATTTGTGAAACTAGAAAATAGGCTATTGGCATTTACCAGCTGCTATTAAGACAGGTAGCCATAAGAAAGAGTGCCTTTGTTGCTTCTGGACAAGATTTATCTTCTTTTGTTGATTTTGTCCCATCACCTAAATCAACATAACTATGATATTCTGCTTTGTGGGGGTCATAATCTATTTGAGTTTTAATATGCATTTCATCAAGGCTAAGTACACAATACAACTGCTTTTCTGATTTTTTTTGGTAGCTTTTAATTTAAGTAAATGAAATAGAAAGGAAACCTTTATTTAATTTAATTTATTTTTTTTAAATTATTATAATAAACCTGGCATGATTTCAATCTTGTGACTCCATGCCCTTAATGTGGATTCCGGAGGCATACAAAAGTGTGATTTGAGATATCTGTAAGCCTTAGGTGAATAAAAATGCATAGTTAATGCAAATTGACGGAATTCACTTGTATATATTTTTTTGTGGGTTTGAGATGCCTCCACTGTGTATATGTGTTTTAAGGAATATAGAAGATGTCCCTGTAAATTGCCTGTCTATAATATTTTCGACATCATCTGATAACAAATTTTCATCTTTTAGTGAAGTGATTATTGTTTGTAAATTGATTATTTTATTTTTTCCTCTTTTTGAGCTCCTATAATAAGCATGTGCCCTTTTTTAAGCGTTTAATAATAGCCTCTTGGTAAATAATTTTTCTTTTTAATGTTTCATATGTCGCGGAATAATTATGATCATTTATTATATGTATAATTGGATCATTTTCATATAATATATCACTTTTTAATGGTGATTGTATGTTATTTGAATGAACATTCGTTTTCTAAAAAGTATACATTTTAAAATATTGTTTTAACTATGTAATGATATTGTTAACATACATCATGAAGTGGCTTAGATATACTAAATATCGATGGAATTGAATCTTCCTTCAATAAAATCTTTCCGGATAAAGTATGAATGAAACAAGTATTTTTGAAATGCCTTCCACAAATAATACTATATTTATTAGGCATAAAATTTTTCCTATTTATAGCCTGTAACCATTTTTCCAATAATTATTTGGATTTTAATGGAAATCTATATTTAAAAATAGGTGAATAATAATGAGTAAAATATAAGATATATTTATGACATTGATACAAAGATAGATAGTATATAAAAATCAATATAAATATCAGATCAGTTATTAGTAATATAGTATTGAATCAGTGAAAATTTGTTGATTGGCAGAGCCTCTATTAGTATATATATGGTTTACATATTTCTTACAAATATTTAAAATGAAACTGTATCATAGTAAATATGTATTTTAAAAATGGCTAACTTAATATTTTATCCAGAAAAATATTTAGGAAAAGTTCAAAATAGAAATCTTATCAACTCAAGAGGAAGAAGCATTATTTGTCCTAGCAATAAAAATGAGAAAACTTTATATTTTTACTAAACAAGGATTTTTTTTCAATGTTTGTAGCTTATTAATGCTTTATGTAATAAATATGTTGCATATAAAAAATAATATATATACTTATGATAAGAAATATGTGTATTGGATTCTATTTTATTTGTTTTATTACAATTATGAACACAGCACACTCCCATTATCTAAATAAAATAATAAAAGTGATATTAAAAGATCTGTTTTGCATGTATCCTAAGATGCATTAACATAAGATTTATAAGTCCATGCAGGATTAGGTTAAACTATATTTTTAAAAATTAAAAGGTGGGTTAGTCTTAGATTTATTTTTTAAATATAATCACCTAGACCACCTTCATAAAAAAAGTCTTATGAAAATTTAAGAATAAAAGATACTATAAAATATTATATCATAAATCGAAACCTTTAAAACTAAATTATCGTAGTAGACTTGTTTTCTATATATTAATATTTCTTGCTGACAAATAATGGATAATCAAACTACAAAATGGCGCTACAGCTGATTACAATATGTGGACACTTTTATAATGCATTGAATGAATGAATCGCCAATCTATAGTTATATATATCATTGATTATAATACAATTCATCGACCAAATCTATATATTGCAAACAATCATATACATTGTTTTGCAAATTCTACTATCCTTTTAAATGTAATTTAAAAGGTTTAGATATTTTAGCAAGCTCATAATGCTATAATAATGAATTCGTTGTAAATAATCGAGGTTTTAATTGAATTTATCTAAAAAATAAATCCTTTATATTTACAAAATAAATCCTTTATATTTACAAAATAAATCCTTTATATTTACAAAATAAATCCTTTATATTTACAAAATAAATACAAAATAAATCCTTTATATTTACAAAATAAATCCTTTATATTTACAAAATAAATCCTTTATATTTACAAAATAAATCCTTTATATTTACAAAATAAATCCTTTGTATTTACAAAATAAATCCTTTGTATTTACAAAATAAATCCTTTATATTTACAAAATAATTTACAAAATAAATCCTTTATATTTACAAAATAAATCCTTTATATTTACAAAATAAATCCTTTATATTTACAAAATAAATCCTTTATATTTACAAAATAAATCCTTTATATTTACAAAATATTGATATTTGGCAGGTGGTAAATTTTTTAGGGGGGTAGGCAAAGGTTTTTGAAGGGGGTTTGCATCCAGTGAAAATTCTGTCATGTAGACGCTGAATGCAATGACATACCTTAAATTTTTATATTAAATATTAACAGTTGAGTCTTTAAATCTTCCATCAAGTTTATTTTGAAATCTAGATATTTGCATACCATCTTTAAATCTTCTATCAGTATCATAATAATATTTTCAGATATGATTTATATAGAACTGACTGAATGAATATTTAGTTTGTAAGGTGATTACTATTGGACCGATTATGCTATAATCATTTTTATTGGACAAATATATTTTAAAAGAGCACTATTGGCTAAATTTGATTGACGGTTTTTGAGGATTATTATAATAGATTACATGGCTGCACCAGTCCTATCACTAGGACTTTAAATATTTAAAAAAAAATTTACTAATAAATGCTTTTGATAATAAATATAAGTAACAATTTGTTTTCAATTCTTTAACGCCATCTATTTATTTGAAAATATTATAAAATTAAACATCTTATTATTCATCCCACAATGTATGTAATAAATTAAATATCTTTTCTTCTCTTTTTTTACGTGTTTTTAGGAAAGCTCATTTTTTCATCTTTGAAAAACAGTTTTGAGTTAAATTTTTAATACGAGTATATTTTTGATAATATTACCAACTACTATTATTTTTAGATATAATATACCAACTAAAGGTGGTTGCGACAATTATATATAAAATCTTAATTGCTTTCATCATATCATTCTGGTTCGTATTTTATAGTTACAAAATGTTCCATTTATAATATGGCTTGCCATTTTAATAACTGAAGGCTTCAATATATTTGCATAATTTCTTCTTATTTTTTTTAAATCAATTTATCTAACATAATAAATTCTGATATGAGTTAACATCGTGGGTGTCATGGTCAGGGTTGCCATGTCTCCCCCCATCAGCGGGAGACTTTCGCTATTTTTTAGTTTACACGCAGACATCTCACTCCCGCAAAACTACCGCAATTGGAAATCTCCCGCAATTTTTTAATATCTCCCGCAATTTTTTTTTAAAGCATTTTAATGTTTTTAATATATAATTAATAAATCTGAGAGACATTATTTGATTATTTTTATATTTTTAAAATAAATTTTTAATAATTATTTGAAAAATATGTCTAGTATGTAAATTTCTTTCTTCCTGCTTAATATATTTTTTATTATGAAAAAGCAAAGTTCTATAACAAAATTTTTTCGAGCATCATCATCATCATCGCCTATAGAAGAAATATCTTTAAAACAATTAAGTTAAATTTTTATTTAAAATTTACATTTATGTTGATTTCTTGTAGGAAGGACTAACTTAATTTTTCCCATTTAAATTTCTAAGAGGTTAGAATTGGTTAAACTGAAGATAACCAAGTTTGTATAAGAAAACAAGCTTGAGGAAAAGATTTGGGTAAAAATGAGATAACTTAAATGTTAAGGTTATATAAATAGGTTATGTTTATATTTAAAAAAAGAATGTTGTTAAAATTTAATTTAATAAAACTTGACAATTGTTAAGTAAGTTAAGATAATGTGGAATTTTAAAAAAATTACCTACACAAATTTAGAACAACATGGGCCAAAATCAAACTGGCATTTTATCTCATGTCAAAAAAACTGTGAACTTTCTAAGAGTTCATGATTATCAAAATAAAAACAAGAGCATTGTTCATTTTAGTGATAAATTTCTTTCTTTTATTTATTTCTCTAGATAATTTTATATGATACATTATATGTAGGATAAGATTATAAATTGCATATAAAAAGCATAACTAGTTTGTTAATTATTTCCAATATAAGAGTTCTAAGATAATAAATAAAATATAAATTATATAAATTTTTTTTTAAAAAAGACACTAATTAGGGAATAAGGTAAATCTCCAAATCTAGTACACATCTATTTTGAGTTTTTTTTAGAAACAGATCCTATTAGTCATAAATTTAAACAATTATATTTAACAACGTTTTATTAGCTATAAAAACAATAATAAAATTTTCTGCATTATTTATATTATATAAAAACTATTGATTGGTATTTCTCTATGTTAAAGTATTTAATTTGGCTAATTTTTAGATTTGATTTAATATGTATATAATATCCTGATTTTTGGCACACTTGTAGTTTAAATTTTGAATTACTTTAAAATATTAACTTTTGAATTAAATTTATATTAACCTTTATATCGATATTCTATATAAACTAAAAATACTTTGCAGAAAATTGAAATTTTATATTGGAATATAGTTCCAGTTAAAAATTTAAATTTATATAAATTGAGAAAGATTCAAATGTGGTTTTTAATTTCAATATTTAGCAAGATAACACTATTTTTTAAATAAATCATTTTTTTTTCCAATTATTTTACTATACTTTTATTTTCATCTATAATTTTATTAAACCATTTATCTGATAAAAATTTTATTTGTTTTATGATTTCGCTAAGCATCAATTAATTTTTTATAACCTTGGTTTAATGATGGTAAATAAAAAATAATTTAAATATAGGCTCAGTATCAGTAGAAAATTGGTTTTGAATAGCATCAAAATAGTGAAAAATTTTCTGAACACACTCCTTGATTTTAGCTAAATATATAAACACTATTTTTATTTAAAATATACATTGTGGTATATGTTGATTTCTTGTAGCTAACATAATTTTTCCCATTTAAATTTCTTTAATCTAATGAAATATTAATTTTTTATTACCTTGGTTCAATGATGGTAAATAAAAAATAATTTAAATATAGACTCAGGTCAGTATCAGTAGAAAATTGGTTTTGAATAGCATCAAAATAGTGAAAATTTTCTGAACTGCATAGCCGTACTATTTAACACTCCTTGATTTTAGCTAAATATAAATATTTTTAGAATTTCAAAATTTAAAAACACTATAATTTTTATAATATTAGTAATAAATCATATTACATTTGCTGTATAATATGAGAATTAATGGATGTTATGTTAAGAAGTACAAATATTCTGAAATATAAAATGTTATAGCAGTTTTTTTATAATATTAATTAAAACATACACGTTTAATTCTTCAAAAAGGAACATCACATTTAATTTCGTCTGCTGGCACTTCAACACCAGCTAGTTCAGTGATTCTTGAACCTTGTCCACGTGGTATAAATTTATATTTGTTTTTTTATTAGGAATTATTTTTTATAATATTTAATTAAAACATACATGTT